ACACAATTCTTCTCTAGGTGGGAAGCCTTAGGAGGTGAATGAAGACAAGGCCAATCCAGGGCCTACTCTCAGCTGTGAAGATACCAGAGAAGTTAAGTATTATCATTTCTATTTTGTAAATTAGGAAAATGAAATGTAAAGCAGTGAGGTAAATAAGCCAGGGTTACAGAGCTAGATGAGGAGAGGGCAAGGAATCAGTTACCGATAGATCTGCCTTACTCCAAGCCTACCTTCCCACCTGCTCAGATGGAGGACACCACCTCACAAGAACTTAGAATAAAAAGAGCCCCAAGAAGCTCTTGGTGGTGTGGTGCCTGCCTGTAATCCCAGCTATTGGGCAGGCTAAGGCAGGAGGAATGCAAGTTAGAGGCTAGCCTTGGCAACTTAGTGAGATCTATCTTAAAAAACAAACAAAAAAACAATTGGGGGCAGGACTGTGGATGTATCTCAGTGACAGAGCACCACTGGGTTCATCCCCAATAATGGGGGTGGGGGAAGAGCCCCAAGAGAACCTCTGGGAGAATGGTAGGGGTCAGATGCTATCTGTGGGCTAACGAATTAAGTGGAATGAATTAAGTGGCACAGAAAAAGTGCTCATCATGCACAAGGTTCTGGTACTTCAATCTCTCTACTGTACCTCCCTTATCACCATTTCAAAGCCCACTACTGGGTGTTTAGCAAGTCCTAGGGCTTCATTATAGAGACCAAGGATATGGTTAACCCACATTTAACACTGCTACCTTATGCTCCAATGGAGACCAGTAATTACACCATGACTAGATTCCCTTTATGAGATATCAACTTTGACACAATCCCTAAAGATGCCCCTGGCCCAGTATGAGCCTCAAGGCCCAAGATTTTGGGAAATGACTCTCAAACTTTAGTTTGTATGTATGAGAATGTTTCTTAACATCCCGTATCTTCCCCAAGTTCCAGATCCCAACAGACTTCTTGGGGTTTCCAGAGGTTGTAAAAGTAACTGTCCATCACATGTTAGGCAATCCCAGGGTCCAGTACCTGCACAAAGTTCACACTTGGATGGTTACATTCTTCCTTACCTGAAATAAGCCATATACCATCTCACCTACAAAGACCTTCCTGCAACCACTATGTCTTTGGCATGGTGGTCATTCTAGAAACCCCTTACTGTCTAACCATGCTTTACTTACTCCACTTACCCCTAAATTTATTTATTTAAAAAAATTTTTTTTTTAGTTATAGATGGACACAATACCTTTACTTTATTATTTTTTTTTTTGTGGTGTTAAAGATGGAACCCAGTGCCTCACTGTGTGAGATAAGCGCTCTACCACTAGGCTACAATCCCAGCCCCTCCCCTAAATATAATTAGTCATGATGGCAGTATTCCCACAGAAGCCTGAAAATTCTACAAATCAGGAATGTTTTCTCTCCTAGAGTTGATTTCTAAACATCTGCCAGGGCCAGGCAAGGTGGCACATGCCTGTAATGAACAACTCAGAAGGCTGAGGCAAAAGGATCACAAGTTCGAGGACAGCTTGGCCAATTTAGTGAGATCCTGTCTCAAAAAAAGGAGGTGGGGAATAGGGATACAGTTCATTAGTAGAGTGCCCCTAGGTACAATCCCCAGTACTGGGGAAAAAGAATCTTCAGTACACTACTAGTTAGTTCTCAATAATTACCTAATATATATGAACCCATTTCCTCACACACAAAATGGATTATACTTGGAAAGTGTTCAGTCAGCAGCATTACTAGTTGAGAGCAGAAGAGAACTTGGGGAACATGCATATGAGGACATACCAAAAAATGCAAGTGCTACAGAAATCTCTGCAGAACAGTCCTTTCTGCTTACATCTCTGAGCTGTGCCCCTCAGCACCTCATCTGTGACTCTGCAGGATATGTATTTACATCCATTGTGGTGCTGCATGAATAAATGAGCTCTTCGATGAGACTGTTAGAGCAAGTCCTGGACAGACCACATGAATGGTAAGGGGCAGGAAAAGCCAGCAGTACAAGCTGATTCTCCTACAGTTCACAAGGTTTTCCCAGAACTCCATCCTTTTGTCTCCACAGATTACCCAGAATCTATGTCCCTCCTTTATGGGCATGATAAGTAGTTATTAGGACTTAAATACTTTTGAAAGGCCAGAAGTGACCCCTACTGATAGATACCAACTAGCACCAAGGGGTTCTGAACAGTAACTGGCATTTTCAGGAATAATAGTGTGACCTATTCTATCACTCACATAATTATTCCTGTGCTCACTGAAAGGAGCTAGAAGATTCAAATTCAGCTCTAGCATAGGGAAAATCACTTTTGGGTCCTAATATAATTATCTGTTAAACTGTAATTACGCTTGTTTGCCAACTTGTCAGTGCTATTGTGTGGCTACAGATTTTTTTAATGCATATAATGGTAAACAAGAGCACCCAGTAAGATCAAGGACAGTGCACAGACGATTCGACCATTAGCATTATAAAGGGGAAGAAGATAGAATACTTGCATAGCATGCAAAAAGGCCCTGGGTTTGATCCCTAGCACCCCCACACACCAGGGGCGGATGGGTAGAATATATATGCGTGTGTTTATGTATATGTATATATATACTCAGGTCCATCTGACACCCAAGTCTACTTTTTTTTTTACCCCTTTCAGGTAATAATTAAATAAATTACTTACTGCCTACACATAACCCTCCCTCCTCAAGTTCTGTCAAACCCACCACTGCTGAGCTGTACAAGCACTGTTCTTGCCTGGTATCCATTCCATGATCATTAACTTGGACAAAGCAATTGCTGGACTTTCATAATAGTCTCAAGTCTCCCTATGCCCTATTCCAAGTCATATGATGCCAGAAAGCTCTTTTTATAATAGATCTGAGCATATCATTCATCTGCTTCAAAGCCCTAGGATGAAAGATGACCCTTTTTAGAGACCAATTGGTTAAAATTATCTCTTTTGGAAAACTACTTATAAAAGAGAGTTAAAGGGTGGGACAAGATGGCACATGCCTATAACCCCAGTGACTTGAGAGGCTGAAACAGGAGGATCACAAATTCGGGGCCAGTCTCAGCAACTTAGTGAGATCCTTAGCAACTTGTCTCAAAATGAGAAAGACTGGTGATGTAGCTCAAGCGGTAAAAGCACCCCTAGGTTCAAACAGAAGTACCCCCCCCCCAAAAAAAAAAGTGAGTTTTGGGACTAGGGGCACAGCTGAGTGGTATAGCATCTGCTTAGTGTACACAATATCCTGGGTTCAATCCCCAGCACTGCCCAAGGAGTGGGGAGACTGGTGTCTCTCGTATTCTTAAAGATCGTGCAATTCTACCTCCAACAATCAAATCTAATAATATAAATTTTTAAAAAGACTGATTTGGGCAAGTGTCTGTAGTCCCAGATTCTTGGAAGACTGAGGCAGAAAGATGGCTTGAGCCTAGGAAAAAACAAATGGAAAAATAAAAAACCCATCTCAAAAAAAAGAAAAAAAATTAGAAAAGAAAGAAATAAGCTAAGCCTCAATGCAAAATGGTATTCATTACATCCTTATTTATGTAAAGAACATCATTATTTATGTTAAGAACGATGTAGAATAATATAAAGGAGAGTTAATTCATTCAGTGCTTGGTATATGTCAACCACATACTAAACATACCATCTTATTTAATTCTCAAGACAACTCTGTAAATAGGTAAGATAGGAAGGCTAGGAATGATTAAGTGCTTTTGTGAAGTTCCACTAGAAGTGACCTTGCATTCTTTAACTCAGGTCCATCTGACACCCAAATCTATTTTTTTTTAAACACCCACTCCAGGTAATAATTAAATAAATTACTTACTGGCCATGCACTGGTGGGATGATAAAATGCTAAAAATTATGGTTACAGCCGGGCACGGTGGTGCATGCCTGTAATTCCAGGAACTTGGGAGGCTGAGGCAAGAGGATGGCAAGTTTGAGGCCAGCCTCAGCAAATTCGTGAGACCCTGTCTCAAAATAAAAAATAAAAGGGAATGGGGATATAGCTCAGCAGTAAAGTACCCCTGGGTATAATCCCCAGGACCCCCTCCAAAAATCGTTATAAATAGCCAGGCGGTGGGGCTCACCCATAATCCCAAAGCCAGCCTCAGCAACAGCGAGGCGCTAAGAAACTCAGTAAGACCCTGTCTCTAAATAAAATATAAAATAGAGCTGGGGATGTGGCTCAGTGGTTGAGTGCCCCTGAGTTCAATCCCTGGTACCCGTCCTCCCCCCAAAAAACAGTTATATTCAAATGTAGGACAAAATGCAGTGTGTGTGTGTGTGTGTGTGTGTGTGTGTGTGTATGTATGTATAAGAAAAAGACTGCAGTAGCTATGCTAAAATGTTTAAATGGTAAGAGAGTAGTATTGGAAATACTTTTTATTCTACTGCTGTGCATTTTCCAAATTCTAGTATAATGTACTGAACTCCTACCAAGACACCGTGTTACTTACAAGATAAAAGCCTGGTATTCTTTCTAGAAGCCCTGGGCCCCCACCCCCATTCCGAGGATCACGGTCTCCAGGAAGGACTTTCTCCCTTTTCTCCACTTCTGAGTTCCTATTCAACCCCAACACTTAGCGTCAACCTCGAAACCCCAGTCTAAGTTTTCCTCCGGCCTCTAGCTGCTGGGCAAGGCGCACACGTGACCCGGACTCATGACCCCGCCCACGTGAGCCAACCCCGCCCCGCGCACACGTCGACCCCTTTTAAGGCTGCGCCGGCGGCGGTTCTCCCTCCCACCGAGACAGGTGTCAGTGCCTTTCGCTGCGCCAGTCATCGGTCGCTTCGCGGCAGTTGCATCCGGCCCTCATTTAGACGCTTTAGACGCGCATGTCGAAAGGTGGGGAGGCCCCTTACCTTCTGGATCCGCTTCAGCGCCATCCTCTCCGCTGCTTGGGACCGGGCGGCCCGGCGGGGCTGCCTGGGGCGGCCCGCTGCCGGCTCGGCCGCCGCGCTGCACGCCGGGAACCGCTGTCTGCGCGTGCGCAACGCGGGGCACTGTGGGGCGGTCGTCGCGCGTGGCTCGTCCGAGCGCGGTTGGGGGCCAGGTCCTGCTAGTCAAGTTATTGTGGCCCCGAGTAGGGCTCTGCGGCTTTGACTTTGGTCGGCGAGGGCCTGGGGCACAGCGACGCGCCGAGCGCCGTACGCTATGCTCTCTATTCCCTCCTGGGCTCCTTCCTAGACTTTCGCATAACTCCTGAGGGTATTCTCCACCCTGTGAGTATACGTATGCGTTTTATACGTTGTGACTGGAGGTTCTAACAGCTGTTTCCATATAGATGCAATCCCAAACCTGGCGCCGTGGCGCACTCCTGTAATCCCAGCGACAGGGGAGGCTGAGATGGGAGGATCACAAGTTCCAGGCGCTGCTTAATGAGACCAAAATAATAATAATAATAATAAATAATAAACTAAAGGAACTGGGGGGATGTAGCTCACTGGTAGGGTGCCCCTGGATTCAATTCCCAGGACCGAAAAAAAGTGTACATACGAAGCAGACAGGCACGCATAACTATGTGGTAGGGCCTCCATTTTCACTAATTCAGGTAGTTCTGATGCACTGCCAAAGTTTAAGAACGGCAGCCTGAAACTTAATATCCCAAACTTAATTCTGTACCTTTCCCCCTTTCCGAAGACCTGGGAGTTGTCTAGGTCAACTTCAGTTCATGGTTATGAACTAATTAGTAGTGTGTCATGAAATCAGCTTAACGAATTGCATCTACAATTTAAAACATGAAGTGTAATACAATAAAATATGTAATGTCGGTGTATCTCACATAGTAAAGACAAGAATTGTCAAAGTTCTGTTGATGTGTGCAAGTGTGTTATATGTTGGTGATATTTTTTTTTTCTCCAGACACTTTACAGGACAAGGATACTAATGCAAGTACTGTAGGACCAAAGATGTAATCTGGGATTGTCTCTGACCAGCCAGGACATATGGTCATCTTTGAGTTTATATTCAGAATATAAAATAAATTATATTTAATGGTTCCCCAGTCCCTGCCTTCCATTCTCTCATTCCCCCAAACTGTCCTCCCCACAAGTTCATGAATCTAACATAAGTCTAATCAAGCTGTATCCTTTCCCAAAACTCTTAAGGAATCCCGGTAATCTATAGTAATACATTCAGGGTTATCCATGTTCTTTCTAGAATCTAGTATCCTCTAATTTTACCTCTTCCTCCCTAACTTTCAATCCTGCTATCAAAGATTTCTATTAATGTTCCTACTTATATTCCTTTACTCCTGGCTGCCCTTCATCTGGAAAACTCCCTGTTTTTCCCCCTTAACTTTCCAGCTAAGCACATTGGTGCACTCCTGTAATCTCAGCACCTCAGGAGGTTAAGGCAGGAGGATGGGGACTTTGAGGCCAACCTCAGCAACTCATCAAGGCCCTAAACAACTTGTCTTGGAAAATAGTAAGGATTCAATGTGTAGTACCTTCCAAAACTAGCTCAATCATCACTCTCTGAGTGAGCCAGGTTAAGAAATTTCTCTTGGTTTCACATCTTTGCAGTACAAATTTCCAGCCAGGTGCAGTTGCCTGTGCCTCTAAACCCAGCTATTTAGGAGACTAAATCAGGAGGATTGCAAGTTTGAGGTAGGCTTGGACAACATAGTGAGACCTGGTCTTGAATACATAAACAGAATAGATAAAAAATTTGTGTTAGACCATAGCCCATCCAGCTCTACATTGTTTACCTGACTCTCTCTTCTATGGAACAAATTATCCCCCACATTTTTAAAAAAAATATATATTTATTTTAGTTGTAAATGGACCTTTATTTTATTTATATGTAGTACTGAGACTTGAACCCAGGGCCTCACACATGCTAGAAAAGTGCTCTACCACTGAGCCACAACCCCAGCCTTGAGTCCCAAAACTTTATAAGTGTTTCTGTATTGGTGTTAGAATATAAATTTCTATGATAATATTATTCCTGGATAGTGGGTCTACTAGTGATACCAATTTCCAAAAATTTGTACAGATGATTTGCATCACTTGTGTAATCCAGGGAAACAAATCAAGCTCTAAAGAATAGAAAATAAAAAGTTGCAATTTTACTTCCTATTGATAGTTTAGGTTATAGTTTTCTTAACTTTTTATTATTCTTATATGTATTGTTTAATTTTTAACTTTGAAATATTTTAGATATACAGAGTTAATTTTAAAATGTTACAAAAAAGATTTTAAACATCAGTGCTTACTTTATAAAAACTTAAAACTGGGCCATATATGGTGGTGCTTGCCAGAAATCCCAGCTGAGAAAAAAGCTGAGGCAGTAGGCTAGAAGTTATAGGTCAGCCTGGGCAACTTGGTAAGACCCTATCTAAAAATAAAAGTTAAAAAAGTTCTGGGGAACCAGGAGCATTGGCATCTACCTGTAATCCCAGCTACTCTAGAGGCAGAAGCAGAAGGATCACAAATTGGAGGCCAGTCTCAGCAACTTAGTGAGTGAGACTTGTCTCCAAATATTAAAAAAAAAAAAAGTGTTCCCTGGTTGGATCCCCAGCACCAAATATTCAAACACAAAAAGGTGTCTGGGGATATAGCTGAGTGGTAGAGCACTAGCTTAGCATGCATAGGTCCTGAGTTCAAACAAACAAACAACAGCAACAACAACAACAAAAAAAAAACTGGGCAAAAGATTTGCATATACATTTCTTTAAAGATAAGAAATTGGTAAGCACATTTTTAAAAAATCATAAGAAAAATGCAAATCAAAGCCATGAGATACCACTTTGTGCCCTCCAGGATCAATACAAGTTTTGATAAGAATATGGAAAAGCTGGAGCCTTCACACATTCTGGTGGGAAAGTTAAATGGTACAGTCATTTTTGGAAAATGGTTGATAGTTGCTCAAAAAGTTAAACCGAGTTATCATATTACTCTTAAATATACATATAAGATAAAATATGTCCATACATAAATCTGTATACAAATGTTTATAATAGCAGCATTATACATACTAGTCAAAAGGTCACAATAACTGAAATGTTCAATGGCTAAACAAAAAAGTGATGTTTCCATACAAGGGAGTATTTTGGGGAATAAGTTACTGATATATACTTTATATATATGTTTCCAGGGTTGCTGTAATAAATTACACAAACTGAGTGGCTTAAACAACAGAATGTATTGTCTCATAACTCTGGAGGCCACAAGTCTGAAATCAGGGTATTGTCAGGGTTGGTTCTTTCTGAGGGATGTGAAAGAGAATCTTTTCCATTGCCTTTCCCCTAGCTCCTTAACAGCCTTTGTTAAATAAATAGTGTTCCCTTGTATCTTCATAGTATCTTCCTGCTATGTGTGTTCCAGTCCCTTTTGTAAGTATACAGTCAGAGCTGAGAGTATAGTTCATTGGTAGAATATTTCCCTAATATGCACAGTGATCTAGGTTTGATCCCCAGCACTGCAAACAAACAGAAAAGATACAATTACATTGGATTAGAGGCCCAATGACCTCTTAATAACTTGATCATCTCCAAAGATGGTTCCAAGTAAGGTTTCCAAGTAAGGTCACATTCATAGCTGTTGGAGTTAGTAGTTTAACAACTTTTGGGGGGACACAGTTCAACACAATAATAGATGAGGAGCAGAAGGTGTAACTCAGTTGTCTAGGATGAACAAGTCACTGGGTTTGATTCCCCAGTACCAATAAATAAACCCTGAAAATACTATATTAGGGTGCAGTGAGTGGCCCATGCCTGTAATCCCTAGGGACTCAGAAGGTTGAGGCTGAAGAACTGCAAGTTTGAGGACAGCCTCAGCAACTCAGCAAGATGCTGTCTCTCTCTCTCTCTCTCTCTCTCTCTCTCACACACACACACACACACACACACATACACAAAGCAGGGGCTGATGTAGCTCAGCAATAGAGCACCTCTGAGTTCAAAAAGAAAATATTAAGGGCTAGGGATGTGGCTCAAGTGGTAGCATGCTCGCCTGGCATGCGTGTGGCCCGGGTTCGATCCTCGGCACCACATACAAAGATGTTGTGTCCACCGAAAAACTAAAAATAAATAAATAAATATTTTAAAAAATACTATCTAGATGTTAGCAGTGAAGGTTGGTTGGGCTTATAACATCTGTGAAAGGAACAAAAGAAAATTGATGGAATTACCAGATTAAAAAAAAAAAAGAAAATATTGTCTGATCTAATTTTACTCAACATTTCTAACACCAAAAGTGTGAGTTTTTCACCTTTTATCAACCAATTCTTTTGACTCTCCAGACACACACTGGCTATACTATAATTCAATTCCATTCCAGTACCAACTTCCCTGAGTTAGCACAAAGCAAACCCCACAGGTTAAGAGTTTAGTCCCCACAAGACTGCCCCCATTTCTAATGCCCTCACAACTCTCAGGTTGCCACCTGAATGAAAGAGAGTGAATTTGGAGTCCCTACTCTGAATTAAGAGCAGACTTCCTCCTGGGGAAAGAAGGAAGCTAAACGGCTAAAGGAAGCTAAAGAATGAAGATCCCTTCCCTGCCCCAGCTCTAATACAGGGTAATTAAATCTATGTATGTATATCATCTGGCTTTTGTTTCTATAAATTGTAACTGCTTCTGTGGGGCTGGTGGAGAAAAGCAATCTAACTGCTTCTTGATTTGATCAAACTGCATGAAGTTCACAATTTATTTTTCCATCTTTTGTTTATTTCTTAAGTGAGCCAGTGGCCAAATCCTCCAGCCAGGGTCCCTGGGTTAGGCTGTCTGTAACATGAACCCAGTTAGTAGGTAGGCATGATTGATGAGATCATTGGGTGTTGATGATGAAACCCCATGTCCAGCTCTTTTTCCCTGGTAGTCCTGGGGTGATGCTGGAAGTTCCAGTCCTCCAGTCACAGGGTTAGATCCTCAGGAATCCTACTCATCACTCTGAAACTAATCTATGGGCCTACCAAGAGACTCCTATAGGCATATCTCAGGTTTTTGTTTTTGTTAATGAAAAACAAAAGACCTTCCTATCATTTCTGTCATGCAGGAAATTCCAAGGGTTGTAAAAATTGTGCCAGGGGGCTGGGATTGTGGCTCAGAGGTAGAGCGCTCCCCTAATGTGCGTGACACAGCACTGGGTTTGATCCTCAGCACTACATAGAGTAAAATAAAGACATTGTGTTCACCTATAATTAAAAAATAAATATTAAAAAAACTGTGCTAGGACCAGGGGCAAAGACCAAATATATATTTCTTATTATATCAAATAAG